TACTTTACGAAAAGATAAATAAAATAAAAGAGCTTATTATAAATAATAGATAATGTACTTAATGGATATATATATATATATAATTTTATTGTATATAATTATCACCACTCTACTTTAATACCGAAGTATCTTCATATAACATGATAGAATTATTAATTATTATTATGTATATTGATGTATTGATATAAAATCATGTATTTTTTATTATTTTATGTATAAAAATATTATCCTATAATTTGGGATTTTTTTATTTTGACTATTCTACACAGTGCCGAAAGCGGCTTCAGCGATGAGAGAGGCGACGATACCGACGAAGAGGAAGAGGCGATTGAAGGAAGAATCAGACACGGTCCGCGCAGACGGACACGAAAGGTGCGCGAATATTATTCGTTTAGTCGATCGTACAAATTTTTATAAACGACTATTCAACAATATTGTCTCTGTTAACGTAGGAAAGTCCTAGAGCGCCGACACCGGACACAGAATCCGAACAGCCGACGGATACCGAATTATCAGAGTCGAAGACTGGTTCTTCGGTAACTTTGGAACAACGCACACCCACACCGGAAACCGAAGCGGAATTGGACGAGGCAGAAATCGCGCATGTTGACTCTGCAAAATCTGTTAATATAGCGGAAGCTAGTGTAAGCAAAATTGCAAAAATAATTATATATATCTAGGATACTATATTATTAATGCTGAATTAATTTCGAACAGTGCATTGCGGAAAGTACGCAGGAATCTTTGAATCCTTTGGACCAGGCTCTTACTAACGTCATACAGAATCTTATAAAAATCAACGACGGGGAATCAAACAGGAACCTTTCACGGGAGAATACGTCCTGCTCATTCTTTGAAGATCCGTGCGAGAATCTGGTTAATGAAACCGATGGCAACACGGAAAACAGTCATACTTCGACAATTTCGACAATGGATTCCTGCAAGAGAAATTTACAATCTTGGAGACCAACTAGTGAATCTCGGTGTTCATTACCTACAACTCATACTCTAAAACGAACGGCCACGAGTGTCGATCTTCCTTCGGCGGTGGATAATAATGGATTGTCTGAATCGTCGTCAACCGAATATTCGTCAAAGCCACGCGATGATGAAATGATCAAACTTGAAAGTATTCCGTCATCAGCCGCTTCCACTACCACGAATGCAACCAGCACGATGTCTGTCTTTTCTATCGGGCCCCTTCCCACATCATTGTCATCTTCGCCTATAAAGAGCGTGCAGTTCAGCAACCCCTTGATCGTCGGGCCGTCTAACCGCTTTTTTGCCCCAATGTTTGGTGCAACGGAATCCAACAATTTTGCGGATAACTTTGCTGCGTCCTCGTCGATAACGCCATCGAGTCAAGAGGAAGAACCGATGAACGGCAAAGAACAGCGATCTCCCAGATCAATAGAGAGTATCGCAGATTCCGACAGTATTTCCGTAGATTCCTCTTCGAGTTTGGACACCGTCAGAGAATTTTCTATGACCGACCTCGGTTCTACGCCTTCTACATTGACGTCTAAGAAAGAGCTACAGGAAAACGCGACATGTTCGCAGAAGGAATCTATGATCACTTCGACCAAAATCCGAACTCCGGAGGAAGTCTTGGCGACACGAGCTGATCGATTAAAACGTTTGGAGGAGCAAGCTGATTGGCTTGTGAAGAAGATGAACGCTACGAGCAAACGGAGCACCGCTCTTTGCACAAGATTAGAGGAGCTTCACGAGGCTTACGGGGAACCGCCGGTTCCTCCACCCATGCCAGACGTTTTACCTAGCCGTAGACTGCCATCCAGTCTGCTCAATCTACCTCGTCAGGTAAGAGCACACAATTATCTTAGTATCTATCTTAGTATCTTATTATCTTAGTATTATCATAGTATCTTATCTTAATATTCTATCAGTAGATTGCGGCGACATTTTATCCAATTTTTCTCGCAGATTCTTGAATCGCCGTCCGCTGACGGTACCGAGAACATCGAAGATGAAAGCGCTGATGCGGCAAAAAACGATAAATCATCAAATGCAAATGCGTCATGATAAATTTATAATATTTTACTCGCGAAGAGTCATATAGTTAACATTTATCTTTATCGTACAACAATTGAAATGCAACGCATACGAAATGCATATAAAGCGCATAGACAATGTGTATTAATTTGCGATGTAAATATCTTCCGGATGCATTCAATATCAATGTCGTAATATTAATATATAAAAACGAACCATATTAATATTCTTTTTCAACATATCTTTTTTGACCTCAATTTTAATAAAGACTTGTCATAAAGATTAAGAACAAGAGATTTTGGTGTTATTTGCTTTATATATATATGTCATATACTATAATTATATGATTTACCTGCCCATTCCTTTTTTGTACCTTACATATGTAATTAATAAATAAAACCCTGACGATCAGGAATTTGTATTATCGCAATTAAAATATTTACCAGTAATCGCGAAAAGTATTAATGGCATGCAAATATGAGAAATGACGAGAAATGTCGTCGTACAACTTACCAATTTATCTATTCAGATTACATTTCTATCCGTTGCATATATTTATCGCTCTATTAAGTTCCATGTATATCCTTGAAAGGTTGTGCGACACGAATCAACGCGCATGTGATACGGAAATATTAAAGTTAATTATTGTTGCAATTATCCCGCGAGAAAAGACTTCATATATCTGCCTATCTGGAGTAGTTCTGTGGGGCGTATCGGACATGACAGACATGTGTGTTTCACTTGTGAAATACATACTTTTACCACAGAGAAAAGACGACTGCGCTTGCGTAACTTTTACGCCTCAAAATTTATTCCGTGGATTTTATTCTATGAGAAAGAACTTGGTTGTGAATTTTCTTCGATATTATATCGATCGCTTAATACACAACCTCGCATTAAAAAAATAGTGTTAAATTGCGAGTGTGTGTTTTGTGCCCTTCTGGAGTCAGGCTGAATTACGAAAGCTTAAATTATAGAAAATTAACGTTGTAGAAGGGAGAACTTATGGGTGGAAAAGAAGGGTGGCAATATATAAAGGGCTAGGGTCGAATAGTGGGGATAAGAACCTTCGTCGCCATCATCCCCGTCAAACATATTTCAGTGCTAGAAGTGAAATGATCAGTGTAAAAGATCGATATTTCAGTTTGAACTGTACTCTCTTGCTGATACTTGGTTTATAGCCTTATAACAAATCTAAATTTGCTCGATTTCAATCAATCTGCTTCTTTAGCATTGAAGCAACCTTTATTGTACCTCAAGTATGTATGTATTAAAATATTTTAATTATATGCATTATATAGAATTTTGAAATCCAATTGAGCTGCTCTATATCTGAAAATTTCTCAATTGAGATATAAGTGATTGAATATGGAAAATATTTCTGAAACTCCGAAAAAGTGCTGCTAAATAATAAAAAATGTTACTTTTTATTTACATTTTTCATTAGTATATTTAGATTTCCATCTTATATTCTAGATTAATAATCTATAGAATAAATACACAAATATATATATATTTATTGTTACAATCTAATAAAATTTGTGTATGAGTGATAATATTTGTCGACTTCTGCTAATGAAAAATCGATCAAAAATATTTGTGGCTATCTATATGAATATAATACATCTTATCGTGAATATACTATTACATTGTCACTTATAATATTCCTTACTTTTACGTAACTGTTGTGAATATATTATTATAAAAAATAAATTTATATATTTATAATGTGTGTATTATATTTGACACTATATATAATATAAATATACAAACATA